TGGCTCAGAATCTTTCTGTAGTGTCACAAAGATAACTTTCAGAATGTGCAGAAAGCAGTGAATGTTAAAAAATCCCAGGAATGGTAGAAAAATTCAACAAGATAGGAACAGAGTTAAGAGTTTCTAAAAGGAGCAACTACTAAGCCATAATACGAAAAATACTACTAGTAATTCTATTAACAGGGCCTGACAGAAGAGACCTTGTGCTGATTATGTCAGGAAGAGAAAAAATTGACACGTATTGTGCTACTGATATTCCTTATACTTGGGGTAGAAAAATCAACCAACGATTAAAGAATATCCACAATAGATCTGAAAAGAAAAGATCAAGATGGGGGAGGCTACATGGCCCATATTCCTAACGAAATCTTATCTAAAGTGGTATAAATATATTGGCAAAATAATTTTTTTAATCACTAATTAAGCTAGATAATATTAGCTGCTATAGATTTATTTCGAAGTAATCTAATCCTAATATTTTTAGGGTAGCTAGTAACTTATTATACAACCTCACATCCTCAGCCAGAAAGCTTCTTTGACCAGTTGTGGTCTTAGTTACTGCTAATCTAATATTGCTGCTACTCATCACATTGTTGTCATGCATATTGTTAGTTGTGGTAAGAATTAAGTTTGATATGAAGTTATTAGACCTACATTTAAGTCTCAAAAGTATAATGTCACATTACATAAAGATATAAAATACAACAATTTCTTTCAATACTATGTCATTTTTCTTGGTCCATTCCCGTTGCTGAATTTTTAATTTTAAGTCGAGGTATGAAATAAAAACAAATTAGGAAAAAGTTACAAATGGTCTATTTTAGCCCATACGCGGGGCAAAATGGACTGTTCTCTGGGGCAAGACGGAACAACTTTAAGCATAGATAATATTACTAATATTTTTAGTAAACAAAATGAAGAGATTCTATTTTGCTTTATTTAAGAAACCCAATCTAAACTCTAAAATTTATTGGTTACCTATAAAAATAGAAATACAAATTTAAAGTAAAAGCTGAAGCAACGAGTAAAACAACTAAAACTAATAAAAAATTATTGACACAATTCACAGGTATATCGCACTTTATTATCTGCAGAGTCAACAGTCAAATCCTGCGCACGAATCTTGGTCCCATTTATGGCAGGAAATGCAGGAAGCCCAACACTCATTTGGATGTGATTTTATGACGAAGTTTCAACATATAAACTTTCTGCATTACTTTTATCTTCACTAGAACTTGTATCTACTTGTTCTTTTTTTAATATTCTCTTGTTTCATATTTTTCTGTAACTTTGAACTTTGTACTTTCTAAACTCAACGTTTTTTAACTCTAATTTTTTCTACCTTTTGCTTTGTTAGTCAATGATAGCTTTAAGTTTAGTTTTTTGGAGAAGAGTTAAAATTGTTTTCTTTTCTTTCTTTTTTTTGTGTTTCCTTTCTTCTGTTTTCTTTTTTCTGTTTCCCTTTTTTCGTTTTCCATTTTTTTCGGTTTCATTTTTTCTGTTTCCTTTTCTTCTCATGATTATAGCTTGCACTGTTGGTAAAGGAAGAACACTTTGAGGGGAAGAGATGGGGAAAGAAGTTGAAGGAGAGAAAGGAATTTGAGAGACAATAGCAAATTTGTTATTTTTAGATAGGGCGAAGGAACAAAAGAGCATGAGGAGAATTCTTTGCAAACATCGATGGTAGGTGTTTTTATGGTAACCTTATATTTAAAGTTGGAGCAATTTTTTGAACTGGTAAACTTTGTTGAGAAGGAAGAGATGTATATAAAAATGTTACTGCCATAAAAACAGCTCTCTGGACGGGTAGAGTTTGTTTAGTTGACTTTGAATTTAGATGTATGACTTGAAGTAGAAACTATTTCTTCCGATTGGATTTAAGTAAATGGCATTGAATAAATTTGTATTTACTGGAAAAATACCTGTTTTCTTAAATCTGTTTATTGCCAATTTCATATTTGCGTCATTAATAAACGCTGCTTCAAATAGGGAACCTACAAAAAAAGCGTAATCACTTTTCCAGGATTTATTCTTGGCCAAGATCGTGTTTGCAAGTATAAATTACTTCCGAAAATATTACAATCTCAACTATTTTTTCGGAAATAAATTTTGAATCCAAGTTTGACATTAACCTTTAATTTCATTAACCAACTTTTCATACACTATGTCATTTCTTTAGTTGAAGTAATAAAAATATATAATAATAACATAGCCACACAAAAAAAATCAGGTCTGGGGTTCAGACCATGTTTTGGGGCAGCTAAATTCGAATCAATTTTACTCTATCACGTCAGGGTTTTGCTATAACCTCAAGAAACCCAATAATTGAGGCTTTTCAGCTCTTTTCAACGCATATAAGCCTGTGACTCAAACTTTAAACACAAAATCAAGCCAAACTGCTAACTCCAAATCCCTAATCTGATAATCCCATAAACTCATAACCCCATAATGCAATAGCCACATAACCTTAAAATACATTATAATGTGCAGCTAAACAAAATTGTTTTCGGGTTTCGGGATCAGACCATGTTTTCTATGTTTTCTGGGTCGCTGAGTTCGAATCTGAAGTCCGTTTAACCCTATCACGTCAGTGTTTTGTTCAGCACTTTTTAATGCATATATTAGCCTGTACCTCAAACTTTAAACACAAAAGCCATGCTGTCAAATCCAAGCCAATAACACCATAAACTCATAACTCCCTAATGCAATACCCCATAATCTTAAAAAACGAGATAATTAAGGCCTTTCGGCCTTATTGAAAGCATATTATATTGAGACTCAAATTATCGACAAACTTTATTTCGCGGATGGTTGTCCTATCTTTGTCTGCATCCACACAGCCCAATTTTTTTCTGGGTCTGTGGGGTTATGGTAAAACACTGACTTAATAAGGTTAATCAAACGCCAGATTCGAATTCAGCGACCTTAAAAACATGTAGAAAACATGGTCTGATCCTCAGTCCCGAAAAATTTTTTTTGTGTGGCTGTGAATTATGGCGTTTTTTGAAGTTTATGGGGTTATTGCATTATGGGTTTATGAGTTTATGGGGTCATATGGTTATAGATTTGAAGTAAGCATCTTGGCTTTTGGTTTAAAGTTTGAGTCACAGGCTTATATGCGTTAAAAAGTTTTGAAAAGCCTTAATTATTGAGTTTTTAGAGGTTATGCTTAAACCCTGACATGATAGGGAAAAAAGAATTCCGGATTCGAATTCAGCGACCCCAAAAACATACAGAAAACATATTCTGATCCCCAGACCCGAATTTTTTTTGTGTGTCTGTAAAATATAACGTTTTTAAGGTCATGAGGCTATTGCATTATGGGGTTATGAGTTTATGGTAATATCGGATTAAGGATTTGGAGTTAACAGCTTGGCTTTTGTGTTTAAAGTTTGAGTCACAGGCTTATATGCGTTAAAAAGTGCTAAAATGCCTCAATTATTGGGTTTTTTTCAGGTTATGGCAAAACCCTGACGTGATGGGGTAAAATGGATCTCGGATTAGAATCCAGCAACCCCAAAAACATGTAGATAACGCAGACCTAAATTTTTTTTGTGTGGCTGTGTAATAAATGAATCTTTCAACTTTCCACTTTATAAATACTTTTATTAAAACCAAAAAATACATTTTTTAATTCTATTAAAAATGATATTGTCAATACACGCAAAATCGCCCTTTAGTACATATTTTAGTTGGTGCCGCCCTCACTCGTGGAGCGAATATGGGTTACATGTCATTTCTAAATCAGTTTTGTCTATATATCGTTTAGTGAGAACATCAGTGACGTAACTCAAAAATACACGTTTTTGACTTGTGTACTTCAAAAAATTGCCTAATGTAGCCCGCAACTGATAAATAACTGGCGAAATTATAGTTCTACTACTGTCCGCTCGGTGGCTGTAGTTGTCAGTAATGCTTGGTATTTTTATTTTCACCTTCGAAGGCATTACTGACGAATATAACATTATTAATATTCATTTACTTAAAAAAAAACCTGTTACATTATAACTTAAAGATATTTAAAATTTAGAAAGAAAAAATCGGTAAGATAGCTACAAACGTATAGCAAAAAAAAATAATAATTTTAGTACAAACTTTAACCGCGTTTATCTTAGATCAACATATTCGGAGTTAGGTCACTAATGTTCTCACTAGGCGATATAGTCGCAGTTATTTTATGAATTATGTTCTTATGAAGCTGATAAAAAGGAAGATTTTAGGATTTATTCTAGAACATACTAAATATTGCGTATTTCACAATGATGCTGCATTGACGGCTTTAGGGAGAATTGGGAGATCCATGGGCGCAGATAATGTATGTACCGACTATAGTTAGAATCTGATGTTTTTAAATGTGCAAATTTGATCGTCGTAGCTATGTGTTTCATTGGCTTAATTAGTAGAGGTATCGAAGTGTAAATTCATCATTACATTTTCGGATCTTTATCGGATATTTTCACTCCTTCTTTATGAAAAAATATACACGTAGGTAATAATTAAATCTAGGTTTTCCTGCTAGCAGTTTTTCAACATTTTATTCGGTTTTTTTTTTTAATCGAAATTTTGTATTACTCTCGGTCGGTTTTGACAGCTGTAATATTTACACAACCTACACCGCAGTTCTCTTAGTTTGAAATGTAAATTTTCCTCTTAAGAAAAAACTGAAGGAAAAAACAAATTATTCAAAAGTAATTTCCTGTAAGTATAATAATATCAAACTACGCAAGTGGGATTTTAATAATTTAAATTTAATAGTTCGTCGAACGGTTTTTTTTATCATTGTACCTATAAAACCAGTCGCCGTAAATTTAACAGATATAGATATGACAGAAAGTAACAGTTGTTATCCTTGGCACAAGCGCTTGCGACATTTTTTAAAGTGGGCACCTTGTTTAATGTTCTCTTGAGGTCCCAACAACAAGAATATAATATATGAATACGGATATTTTTTTAAATAATAAATTATAACAAAAGAAGGAGAAAAATTAACTTGTACTTGCCTTCGTTCAATTAGTGATAAGTCCGTCGCATTTTTTGATGAATTGATCTGAAAAATATTAAAAATCAATTAGTAGGAACTCAGTGTAATTCTTAAAAAAATATATTCCAATTGAAACAAGTGCAAGATAATAGTACAATATTTGGGTCTGCATGTGGTATCAAAAAATAATATAATTTTATTATTTTGCAGAATTATACACACTTTTCAAAATAGATAGAAAATTATTCTAGATTATACTAGTACATTTATTTATATATCCAAATTGGCTTAACTCTTTTGACAATTATTATAAATTAATAATTATTGAAACTATCAGTGTTTATTGTGTTTATACTGAATAGAATGTGAAATAATTTGAAGGATAGTAGTAGTTTTTATAAACAACATTTTTTCTTTATATATCCAGTCCCGTTATTTTCAGTTAGATCGTCGTGGATTTTTAACATAGGTTCGTGAAAATGACCTTTAAACAAACCGAAAGTTCAACACTTATACTAATGGTTTCGCAGTTAAAAGAATATTGAGACAAGGACACTCATTACCTGCAATATTGTTCAACTTAAAAGAAAAAGTAGTCACATAACTAAAACCATTTATCAATAAAGAATAGCAAGGACTAAGGATGACTTGCAATCAGCAAATAAGAAATTAAGAGTAGGAAATAGGTAAGAGATAAGAAATAGGTAAGAGACAAAGTTTTAAAATTATTTTATTTACTCCTATGAATATTTTTTTTTATATGTTACATTAATGGAGTTGATTTTAAGGTCTGAGAAGTCCTGGTAAAGATCCTGGTTTTTAACCGACTTCAAAAAGAGGAGGAGGTTCTCAATTCGTCAGAATATGTTTTCATTGGTATTTCATTAACGATAATTCTACCCCGTTGACCGATTTATATAATTTGTTGGAAAAAGAATACATCAAGGGTGATCTCATATAAATTTGGTGAAGATTTGATTATGGAGTCCATAAAAAAATCATCAAATTCTTCAATTTGCAAAGACATCTGAACGATTTTGGAGTCTGTGTTTAAAAATTTGATTTTTAACTTCTACCGTATATTTGGTAAATAAAATATAAAAAAAATTAGAATCTTTAAGAATAAGAAGGTCATTCATGTCTCGAATGTAGTATGTCAGTAAAAGAAAACTCAAAAAGCCTTGGATTTTCAATAAATATGTAAATATTTAAATATGTAGTTGATTAATAATGTTTTCATTGACAATTATAATTAGGAGTATGTAGGTGAAACAAATATAATATAAAAATATGAAAATAGCAAATATAAAAGAACACTAATACTAGCAATACATAAACATTGTGACTTGATATAAATACGAAAAGTGGCCTGCATGAGGGCTACAAAAAAAATTAACACGAGAGATATCAAAATCCTTGTTGAAAAAGTAATCAATCGCCTCCACCAATATCTGCTTTTTGTTATGTTATATATCGGGCATAAATACACTGCGATCTAATATATCTATTGTGTGCCTTCTGTCACTCATGCAGCAAGGAAATAATCTCGAGGCCTATAACGACCCATACAATTCTATCTTTAAGATTTGGAGAGGCTCCAAGTTAGGAAGTTTGCCTTTTTCTATTTGGTATGCTATTAGATTAGATTGGGAGTTGGACGTTCTTTGTCCTTGTCCACCGCGACCTTTTCAGATCTATTGTGGGGCTCCGTTTGTTTTAGAGTATGTCGTCTAGCTTGGTATTTTTTATTAGACAGTAGCTTTGACAGTAGCTCCTGCATTTGGCTTTTCTTCGCCCAATGTTAGAATTGAAGGCGACAGTGTCCGGTAAGAAGACCTACTGTTATCCTAACGATTTGACGCTTTTGATCCAATAGGTCTTTCGTGAACTTGGCCGATGGTTTCTTGATAAACTCTTTGGCCTGTCTCAGTCTTAGATAGTTATTCTATCATGCTTGAGATTCTTTTTGAATCCATTGTTTGATGGATGCCTTGCACAAGCCTCAGCAACTCCACAGAAGAGTTCGGGGCCTGTCATAACCTTATCTAAGCCTTCTTCGGCTAATTCATCGGTCTAGTATTATTCATGATCTTGCACCCAGGCTAGGGTCACCTTGTTTTGACTACTTAGCTTTGTCAGGTCTTCTAGATAGTCTTTCACCAGTCGTGATTTGATTTCTGGTGAGAGAATTGCCTTTAGAGTTACTTGGCAATAGTTTTTCCTGATACTTGCTGATTTAATATTTCTTTTGCACAGTGTTGCATGGCTATTTGTTAAGCCTGGAACACTGTTGCATATTTTCCTAAACTCAGCGAAATTGTGGTTTTCGACTTGGGTCCATTCCAGCACTGGCACCTTCCTTCGTTTTTGAACAGTCTGTGTACCAGACGAGTTCAGTCTGTACGGGAGGTCCCTGTTTCCAGAATTCTCGGGCTGGTATTTGAATTTAAAAATTTCTTTCAATTTTGTGTGTGGTTATGGCTCTATCAGTAGGCATTGCTAGAATATTATCCCTTTTTACTTGCTGATATAGCCTTGGGTGATCGGCGTTATGTAGTTGGCTTATTGGGTTTTATCCATGCATTAACCTGTGAATAGCTGAAGTGGTTTCTCCTTGTATGTGGATGTGTAGTGGCGTGAGATTGAATAATACCTCCATTGTTGCAGTTGGCGTAGTGGGAATGGCCCCAGTAGCACTTAGACACGCGAGCCGCTGAATGCCAGTGAGTTGGCCTATTGCACTTGCCTGTGCAGTTTTGGTTACCCACGCCACTGCGCCATAGGTTATCATGGGTCTTATTACCCTTGTGTATAACCGTATGGTCATTTTGGGGTTAAGACCCCAGTTTTTTCACATATTCTTCTACAGCTTACGAGAGCTATTGTGGCTTTGTGTGTAAGTTTTTTGAGATGTTAGCCTTTGGTCAACTTTGGCTTCTGTGACGAATGGGATAACTGTGTTGATTAGTACAATTGTTTCTTTTTGCACCAGTTGTTCACTATGTTTAGAGCTGTTTGAGATCGGTCCGAGAATGTGCCTGCAAATCGCCCCCTGACGATAATTGCTAGGTCGTGTGCATATCCTAGGCACTGGTAGCCTTCTTTGGACAATGTTTTGAGTAAGTCGTCCACAAGAACTGACCACAGCATTAGAGATAATATTCCTCCTTGTGGGCAGCCCCGTGTAACTTTTGTCTGTATGATTGCCTTTCCTAGAATGGATAAAATGATCCTGTTCTCTATGGTATGCTCTTAAGTACAGTATCCTTGGATTCCGAAGTACTACACATTCAGTCATAATGTGAATAGAGGTTTCGTCCTCCTCATAGAATCTGTACTCACTATCTTCTACTAGTACCAGTTTACTAAAGTGTCCCTTTAGTCGACAATGTACAATAAGTATCCCTGTTACAATGCGTATCTTGTTGCTCAAACAGATGTTGGTCTATTCTATTTATAGTCACCAAGTAGTATTTTGGGTCGTCTAAAAACCGGGATATCGTTTCAATTATCGTTACCCTTTACCCCCTTATGTTTCGGGACTTAAGTGGAAGTAACTATATTTTCTTCGCCTAGCTCATTCAGTTTTTTTTAGGCAAGTCCAGACCATTTTTGAGCTGATTAAGTAAGAGCTGCTTGGATATCAGACATGATGATAAGCTCTTGTCTGTTATAGTTTTTCTCGATGTTAAACCGGATACACTTCGCAATGGTTTAAATTTCCGCCTGGAAGATGCTTGGATATTTAACCAAACTTTCAAAATACCTGGTTCTAGGCCCATACACTCCAATTCCTTCTGTCGGCTTTGACCAATGCGTATATATTTATCGTTGGTTATGTCTTGCTTGTCGAATTAAAACAAGATCAAAATCCTTGTTAAAGGAATGAGATATCCTCTCCAATATATACTTTGGACAGTAAACAGCTTCTTTCTAGCGTGCCATTTCTTGCTTGTCATATTATAAAGAAACAGATGACAAACCTTGTTAAGCAAGTCAGATATGCTCTCCAATGTACACTTTTGCAAATGCATAACTACTTCTCGCATGACACTTTCTGCTTGTCATATTATATTTACATTTAAAATGGCTGTAAATGGCAATTAATATCACTTCTTGATTTTGATTGTTCTTTGGTATTAATTTTATATTTTCCTTAAAATACTCCGTGTTTTATATTTCTAGCACTTGGTGTTCTTTTTTTTTTTTTTCTTTAAAAAGAGAACCAGTCCACGACCTTTCGCTTAATATATTTTCTGCTTTCACACCTGGGATTACCTCCTCGCTGGTAACCCGTTCATCTTCTGAAGTCCATACTGGAATAACTGGATTCTGTTTTCTCTGATTCCTGGATTTTTTCTCTCTACCATTTCATGCCTCTATCCCTGATAGGTTTTGGTAGACTGCCCAAGCAGGATTAGGTTTCAGCCAGCCTTTTCTTCTCTGTGGTTCACATGGTGGTACTGCAGCCTCATGCAAACTAAATTTGAAACCGTTACGTCACTGATTTTAAGTCAAACCATCAAATTTATAATATTGCTCTGACTTTCCGCATGTACCTGTTATTGTGACTAATCTATACTGTTTACTATAGAAACATAGTATATTTCTATCCTTCTCTATAATCTAGAAAAATAAATAGTGCAGTCATTTAATTTGCAGAACGTAGTACAGGTTCAAGAGGTAGATATTTTAGTTATACTTCATCCTTCAAAGCTTATTATTTGTAGTTAAAATGAAAATTTTGGCCAAATAAAAATTTCGTTTATTAGATTTATTCATGTTTTCATGATTTTTACTGTAATAAACATTTTCTTTTGACAGATAAGTCAGACTTTATTCATTTTGTAATAGTATTCATTATAATTTTACAGTTATATATGAATGGCGAGTGCATTAGAAAACACTACAAGCAAAAGTGCGCGTAAGCGACATAGTGGACATTTTTTTAGAAGCATAAGTTTTATTTTTATTGATATAACAATTTTTCATTTAAAATTTAATCTACGAAGTGCGTATATCCCTACTATTTTATATTTCGTGATCTTATTTATAGTGCTCCTGTT